GTATCTGTTGAGAAACGATGCGGGCTGGTTTATAGTTAAAATTGCTTTTGGCTCACTTATTTTAAAATTTTAACTCAAATTTAATGTAACTGAAATCTTCTCAGTATCATTAATATAACTAAATAATATTAATCAACTATCATAATACAGCACTTTTAACTTTAATTTACTATTCACTTTCACACATATTTCAAATTACCTATCATTTTCAGTAACTTTTTTCTTACTTTGACATCACTTTGACTTTTAATTTTTAAAAAATATTATTTATCTACACTCAATCTTACTCTAAAAAATTGCAAAAAATATTTATAGTTTCATAATAAATGAGAAAAAATATTGATAGTTTCGCATCATATTGTAGTATCATATGAGAAAATATTTATAGTTTCTCATGATTAAGCCGTTCGAAGACATCATCTCATAGGTATAAACATATTATGTGACTTAATACTACACATTCATAATTATAATACAAGACTCCCATCTCAGGAGGTCTCAAATTCATAAGTAAATTCAGTTAAATTTATAAACTTACAAGCAAAGAATTAATGATTCGTAATTTTTCTGTTTTTTTTAAACAAAAAAAAAAAAAAAAAAACTTTACGATTCTATCATTTAATTGGTCACATAATACAGTCTTCAAAATGGAAAGTTGAATAACATTATTTTTATTAATTGTATGTTTATTATTGCAGTCTGCATCCTTGCTCCTCAGCTTTCATATAAAGAAGGGACCTCTGAATCCTCTGCAAGAAAACCCCAATATATGAAACTTCGACAAATGTATGATAAAGTACAACCTAATCTAGGCCTGAAATCGGGTCAATTTCAAACCAAATTCACTTGTTATCTACTCCAGGCAAAATATGAAATTTCGACAAATGTTATCATGGACTAGTAGCTTTGAAGTCCCCAAACAAATGGGAAGTCAAAAATAGATATGGTAAGAAGCATTACTTACCTCCTTTGTATCTCTTAATCGAAGGAGATCTAATCTTTCTGAAGGTCTACGATTTGATAAAGTTGCAAGCTGCATTGACGAACTAAATGATTATAGAGGCACAAATTTCAGGTCGAGATAGGACTATAATGCACGTATTTTAAGGAGTATACCCAGAAACTGAAGCGCTCGGGGTCCCTTGTGGGGGGCTTCATCCCTTCTGCTTTAAAAAGCTCCGCAAGCCTCACTCTATCTGTAAGAAACACTTGCTGAAACTATAAAGAGAGAAAGAGAGAGAGGGAAAGAGAGAGTAAAGAGAGACTTGGAAGAGAGCGTAATTACATATTACCTCCTTGTGCCGCTCCTTGAGCATCCTTTATCCATTGGGAAGCAAATTCAGCTGCCTTTTGTGTCATCTCTAGCAACTGTTAACATCGGAAACGAATCCAAGCGAATAAAACATAATATTCCAGTTCTGATAGACCATTATATAATATAGTATTAAAATATCAAACATCGAGACAAGAAGTACCTAAGGATACCAATGTCAAAT